GCAGCTGTGGGTCCTGGGTCTCGTGGCCAAAACAGGGAACAGCTGGGGGTACGAGGAGGCTCTGTCATTTGTCCTGCCTTCCCCTCTCCCTGCCACCCGTGCCTCAGTTTCCCCAGTCACCACGGGGCTGTGCTGGGGGAGGGGAGCAGGGGAGGAAGTGGATGAAGCATCCGAGAGGTGCCCAAGGGACACACTTCACTGTTCCTGATCCCACCCGGGACCCCTGCCCTGCCAGGGACACGGGGGACCCTCTCCCCTTATAGGGCGACAGTGCAAGGCCAGGGAGGTGATGGTGCCAGCGGGGGCTGTAACCCTCAGGGCCGGTGCTGCACTCACGGCCAGGACAGAGGGACTCTCCTGTCCTTACGGGGAGGGGACAGGGCTCCCGGCGAGGGAGAGGCAGCTGCCAGAGCCACAGTGCCATGGGGCCACCTTGCCCACGGTTCATGGGTGACACCAAGAGGGGAAAAACGCCACTGGGCACGAGGTCACAAGGACATGGCCAGGAGCTGCTGGCCCAGGCTGGCAGTGGACAGACAAGGGGTGGTGACACCCAATCCCCTCCAGGACCTGGACCTGGCTGGTGGCTGGGGATGCTGTCAGCGGGGAGCTCTTTGCTTATTCTGGCTCTCTCTCACCCCTGCTGGGATGAGAAAGCAGGAGCTGTTGGGGCTCATGCCACCCATTTCTGAGTGGAAAAGCCCCAGGACAGCTGAGGCGGGACCAGGGCTGTGCCACACGGACACTTGTGGTAGCTTTGCGTGCCCCATTACCTGTCTGGGCATGAGGGGCAGTTAATGGGGATGACCTTGCTGGAGCTGCCACTCACTGGGTAACCCACTCCATGAGGTCTGTGAGCCCCCACAGCTCAGGGAAGGGGAAAAGCCATCTGCAACCCCCAGACAGCATCCCCCAGGGTGGGCAGCAGGGCTGGGACGTGGTTCTGGGGCTGATGTGGGGCAGGGCAGGCACCCAGCCTGCCAGGCCTCGTTAGCATCACTGCTGAGGGACGCGCCGTGCCCCGGAGAGCCGCAGCGCGCCAGCTGCTGTCAGAGCCGCTCGCGTCTCCCCGGCTGCCCAAACCAATTCCAGCCGTGCTTGACAGGCAGCACCAGGATATTAAACCCCGCTAGCAGCACCGGGGGGATCCCTGGGTGCGGCTGGGGGTCAGCTGTCCCGTCCCTGCTGCCCATGGGGTCCCCCTCTCGCCACCCCAGTCTGCGGCAGCATGGACATCCGTAATGACGTCTCCCAGCTCCGGAAGCTGGAGAACTGCTCCATCATCGAAGGCAACCTGCAGATCCTCCTGATGTTCACCACGGGCGCCGAGGACTTTCGGGGGCTCAGCTTCCCTCGCCTGCTCATGATCACGGAGTACCTGCTCCTTTTCCGTGTCTACGGGCTGGAGAGCCTGCGGGATCTCTTCCCCAACCTCTCCGTCATCCGCGGCACCAACCTCTTCTTCAGCTACGCCTTGGTCATCTTTGAGATGCCACACCTGCGGGACGTGGGGCTGCACAGCCTGGGTCACATCCTTCGCGGTTCGGTGCGCATTGAGCGCAACCAGGAGCTCTGCCACCTCTCCACCATCGACTGGGGGCTGCTGCTGCCCGACGCCGGGGACAGCACCTACATCGTTGGCAATAAGTTGGCTGAAGAGTGTGCCGACGTCTGCCCGGGCATCCTGGATGTGGAGAAGCCGTGTGTGCAGACCAGCGTCAACGGACAGCTGGATTATCGCTGCTGGACCTCCAGCTACTGCCAGAAAGGTGGGTGCTGGTGGCACGGGGCCCACTCGTGCCGGCTGATTTTCTGGGATGGTGCTGGTTTGCACTGTGGGTCAAACTGGGAGCGCACTGGAGAAGGCTGGTGGAGCCACTGGGAGCGGCAGGCCCAGTGTGTGGCTGTGGCTCCCCTGCTGCTGGCGGTACCCCCAGCACGGTGGGGTAACCAGATCCGTGCTGTATCATCCTCCGAGGAGAGGCCGGCTCCCGGCTGCTGTGTTTTCCCAGCGGTGAGGTAAATACAGGGCCCTCCTGAGCTCGTTTGCTGTAAACAGGAGACCTGGTAATGAAATATGTACTATAAACACAGATCCTTATCAGGCCTGCAACCTCAGCTGTGGCCCCGGCATGGCTGCACTGGGCAGATGGGGTTCAACATGGGCTGAGCCCCATCTTGTCCGTCCATCTGTCATGCTGTTCCTCCATGCAGCCCCTCATTCCCCCATCCAGGTGTTCACTCAGCCACCCATCAACCCATCTCCCCAGCCAGCCACTCGTCACATGGTCATCCATCCATTGCTCCATCCCTTTGTGCACCCCTTCATCAGTGCCATGCCTCCATCCACTCCTCCATCAATCCACCCCTACCTCCCTGTGCACCTGTATCCTTCCCTTTCTCCCTCCACTCTTGGATCCTCACATCCCAGCATCCCTCCTTCTGCCCCTGCATCCCTCCATCCCTGCACCACATTTCTCCCTTCACCTCACCACCCATCCCTCCCTCCACCCCTGCATTCCTCCATCACCACATCCATCCCCATATCCCTCCCTCCCTGCACCCCC